ACCCCATTGGACTGTAAGGGTCACTGACTTCCGCACTTCTCTAATTTGCAAAGGAAAGGCATGACATCTGTCGTAGGATGTGTCCAGCAGGTAGGAAAGCTACAATCGTCAACCATCAATATCGAGGAAAAGGCTGAAGTCCATTGCCTCTCATGTCAAAAAGCCATCTAACGGCTGGTCTACACTGAAAAGCGACGTGGACATAGCCACAATTCTCAGGGGTGTGAAAAAGCCACTCCCCTGAGAGAAGTAGTTAAACTGACCTGAGCTCCAGGGTAGACAGGGTTAGGTTGTCAGAAGACTACTTCCCGTGTTTGAAGGGTAGACAGAGCCTTAGTCAGATTGATCCCCTATGGGAAGCGAGTCATGACATCAATTCCGATCTTGACCCATCTCCCTGTATGTGAGAAAGCGACTAGCATGGAGGGCTGGGCCAGCTGTCCGATCGCCTGCTTCCTCACATGTAGCTACAGCTCTTCGAACCCATCCACCCAAAGACTGAGAGAAACGGAGAGTTCCAACCATTGTCATTTTAGTAGCTTATTGTTCCTTTCTCTGTTTTTTGTTTTTAATAACTCGGAGATGCCCTGGCCTTTCTATTATAGCATGCTGTGACAGCCCTGTGCTCGTGTGACAGAAGCCCACCAGTGCCAACTGGCAAAGGGGTCGCTCTTCTTCACAAGCAACTCCTGTCTCGGACCTGACAATCTCGCCACACCTCATACACTGCTTTCCCAGTATTTATCCAGGAAGCGTAGCAGTGAGATCTCTACTGAGAGCTTGTAAATTATGGATACTCCTAATCACTGTGAGAGGTGTTGTACGAGTCATATTTAAGGAATAACGTAACCGTATGGAAAATTATGCCCATATGGCCTTGAAATGAAAGTGGGTCACCCCAATCATAGGTCTCGGTGATGACGACCCATTCAAGTCGTCTTTGAGCAGGTCCTCAAAGAATCAATCCTGAAGCACTTACATGAGAGGAAAGTGATCAGGAACAGCCAGCATGGATTCACCAAGGGAAGGTCATGCCTGACTAATCTAATTGCCTTCTATGATGAGATTACTGGTTCTGTGGATGAAGGGAAAGCAGTGGATGTATTGTTTCTTGACTTTAGCAAAGCTTTTGACACGGTCTCCCACAGTATTCTTGTCAGCAAGTTAAGGAAGTATGGGCTGGATGAATGCACTACAAGGTGGGTAGAAAGCTGGCTAGATTGTCGGGCTCAACGGGTAGTGATCAATGGCTCCATGTCTAGTTGGCAGCCGGTATCAAGTGGTGTGCCCCAAGGGTCGGTCCTGGGGCCGGTTTTGTTCAATATCTTCATAAATGATCTGGAGGATGGTGTGGATTGCACTCTCAGCAAATTTGCGGATGATACTAAACTGGGAGGAGTGGTAGATACGCTGGAGGGGAGGGATAGGATACAGAAGGACCTAGACAAATTGGAGGATTGGGCCAAAAGAAATCTGATGAGGTTCAATAAGGATAAGTGCAGGGTCCTGCACTTAGGACGGAAGAACTCAATGACAGCTACAGACTAGGGACCGAATGTCTAGGCAGCAGTTCTGCGGAAAAGGACCTAGGGGTGACAGTGGACGAGAAGCTGGATATGAGTCAGCAGTGTGCCCTTGTTGCCAAGAAGGCCAATGGCATTTTGGGATGTATAAGTAGGGGCAAACCTGAGCAAATCGAGGGACGTGATCGTTCCCCTCTCTTCATGAGTGGGGGCGCCTCTAGTATTGTGTTTTTTTTTTGGCCCCACACTTCAAGAAGGATGTGGATAAATTGGAGAGAGTCCAGCGAAGGGCAACAAAAATGATTAGGGGTCTGGAAGATATGAGTTATGAGGAGAGGCTGAGGGGGCTGGGGATTGTTTAGCCTGCAGAAGAGAAGAATGAGGGGGATTTGATAGCTGTTTTCAACTACCTGAAAGGGGGTTCCAAAGAGGATGGCTCTAGACTGTTCTCAATGGTAGGAGATGACAGAACGAGGAGTAATGGTCTCAAGTTACAGTGGGGGGAGGTTTAGATTGGATATTAGGAAAAATTTTTTAATAAGAGGGTAGTGAAACACTGGAATGCGTTGGGGACAATGAGGTCAGAGATGGTCCTTTCTGGGGGTCCTTTGAACCCTAAGAGGATTCTATGATTCTATGATTCTATGATAAGTGGGAGGGAATTGTCACCCCTCCCTTCTTACCAATTATTATATTATTCATCATGACAACCTGCACAAACCTAGAAAAGCCAACGGAAAACTATCAAAGACAAACTCGAGACATCAAAACTCTGTGGATAAGGATATGACAAAGAGGAGATGTTTTTAATAAAAAAAAGGATTCAGTCTATAACAGGGTGGAGAAAACCAGCCTGGGAGCATTCACCAAGGAGATCCCTGATGAGCCCTGGTGCTTCATGAAAGACAAGGCCCTGGCTTCTAGGGACTAGCAATGGCTGGAATGAAGTGTGAGGTGAGAATCTACTTTATTAGCTGGGAAAGGTAAGTATTCATAAGTGTAGATCACATTTTGTGTGTGTGTGGGGGGGGGGGGGGGAGTTGTCTCTAACCACTTGTTTCCATCAATCACATTTGTTTTTGTTTAAATCTCTATCCCTTCTCAAATACATTTCCTTTTGTTTGATAACTGCACTCAAGCGCTGTGTGTCATGCCGAAGCAGTGGCCTGCAGTTAAACTGGTAATCTGGGATACACCGTTGCTTCGGGAACAGAGGATCTGGGTTTTCTCTGAATATCCGGTGAGGAGGGGTTGGACACCAGAGGGGGACACATTGAAGGAACTCAGGGGCTAGGGTGGATCTATTGTCAACGGGCAGGGCTGGCGTAGCCCAGAGGATAACTGAGTGGGTGACAGGCTGGGTGAGTTTGGTCGCTAACATCCAGCTGCCAAATCCCTCTTGCTAGTGGCAAATGGCAACCAGGAGACTCACAGCCCTGAGCACCCTGAGAAGGGTCACAACGTGCATCTATGTTGATCCACCTGTCAAATCCACGTAGGAAAAGGACCCACTAGCATAGTTCCCCCAATCCAAATAGCCCTAAAACTCTGCCCTGTGAAATCATGGAATATGTGCTCTTCGCTCTGTGAAAGCACGTAAAGAATCCAGGCTGTCGGTGATAAATTGCTAACCAAGGGCTGTTATTCTTTTCTCAGGGCTTGTCTACACTTGAAATGCTACAAAGGCACAACTGCAGAACCCCTCCCTTCCCTGTACGTAATCCCCTAGAGGTGGTAGCTTGGTCAACGGGAGACTGCTTCCTTTGGCCTAGTGCGTCTCCACTGGGGATTAGATCAGTTTAACTGTGCTACTAGGGGGTGGATTTCTCACATCCCTGAGTGATTTAGTTGGGGATCGGTCCTGCTTTGAGCAGGGGGTTGGACTAGATGACCTCCTGAGGTCCCTTCCAACCCTGAGATTCTATGATAGTTAAGCCAAATTCATTTTCTAGCGTAGACCTGGCCTCATTAAAGCCTCAGTGAAGGGTTTATCTGTGTTGTAGGGGGATGCCGCAGGATTTAGCCACACAAGAGTGAAAGCTAAGGAGGAAGGTTGACTTCTCTTTGAGGCTGTAGCTTAAATATGGACGATCATTTGGTTTCAGCGTTGAACTATTCAACCAGCTCCGTGTGGATTGCTCTGCCTAGATGAAGTTTTGGGGTTGGGGATTATGATGAAATGGCTAGACGACGCTTTGGATTCCTGTTGTAGGATTGATAAGATTTTAGTATCTGCCATATGAATGGGAAGATTTGACTAAATTGATGACTTGAATCCAATTCAGTATCATTATGCACACATTAATTTCCTGAGTTGGCCGTAACTTCATGCGTGTGTGTTCAACCCATAGTTAATTTAGTGGGGTTTTAGCAGTTCAGCCTTCCTGACGTGTGTTCTTGGTTTTATTTGTGTCCTAGTTGAATGAAATGTCTCACAGGGATATCAAGTCATCTTTCCTGACGCAGCACGGGCTAGACCCATACAGGATGTGGATGGAGATCAGATGGTCCAGCTCAGAGCCTAATCATCTACCTCTAAATTCGCCCTTTAGTCAGGGCCAGCCTTAGGGATAATGGCGCCCTGGGCAAACTTGCACTGGTGTGTGTGTTGGGGGGACTGTGTGAAGGAGTGTGTGTGTCCGCCCGAGTGAGTGCGCTGTCTCTTTAAGAAAGCACTCAGGGTCAGGAACCTGAACCAGGCTTGTTCAGACACCAGCAATGCACACAGCTGGCTTGTGCCCCCCGTCAGCTGGCTCTCGGCAGCTCAGCTGGGAATCCAAACCCTGCGCACGGTGCCCCCTTGGGTGGGCCGCCCTGGGTGGGGGGCCCCTACAGCCCACCCCAAAGGCCGGCCCTGCCTTTGGTTCCCACAAGGCAGCAGCTGCGGGGGAAGCTCCCACTGGACCGTGGGCACCTCCGAGCATGGCGGAGAAAGAAGGAAATAGGAGCCACGAGTCTCTGTGACAGAGCATTTGAGCCTGTTAACAGAGCCTGTTAATGGAGCAGTGGCGGCTTCAGGCTCCCCCGCCCCGTGGCGATTTCCAGGAACGAGATTTGGGGGGATTTCAACTGCAAGAAGGAAAATCTCTCCTCCTCCTGCCTAGCCTCGTTGGTCTCCTTTTCCCTTCTTGTTCCTTCCCCCTCACCCTCTCTTCTTTGCAGGTGGGAAGATGCAGAACAAGACCTAGTCTGTCCGAGACACAGGGTCTGTCCCCAACAGCGTGGGGGGGTGAGAGCGTGGGCCGTAGGTCACTCTTAAATATTGATAATAAGTGTGTGTGTGTTAGGATGGAAACAACGGAGAACTGACAGTGGGGCTATCAGATTTCCCCACAGATTAGTAGGACTCCCTCCAGCCCACTTTCACCCATCTCTTGGAGGAACAAGTAGGAATTGCCTTTGGGAAGATCCCACTTGTAATAACTCAAGATCTTTTCCACGCGGTTGCCAAGAAATTAGCTCAAATCCAGGCCTGGCCCCTTTTTACTATTATTTTTAATTTTTACGGGCATACGGCAAAACGGCACTGAGGTGGCCAGGCTATTTTTCTACAGCTATTTCATTTCCAACACTGCTTCCATTTCATGCACATTTGCGGCACCTACAAACAGTCAGTTCATTCACAGCCCCGCTTCTGTTTCCGCCACATCTGTCTGATAAAGGGCAGCATTTCCCATATCATAGGATCATCTAGGAGACCTTTGCTGTAGGGCCCGAGTTACAAATCCTTTGGGAACCAAATACACGGGCATTTGGCATAGCTCCACGACACGGTGGAACTCTCTCCTCAGATCATCGGAGACAATATTGTCAAGTGAAAGTCCAGAGCAGGTGATAACTGATGATTCAGAATCAGGAGAAGAGGTTCTCCCATCACATTGTCCTCTGATCCATTCAAACCTGCTTCACTCAGCACAGTCTCAATACTGAGTTATGTTATTTACAACATTTTTAGCGTCCTCATACTGGAGGAAAAAACAGCCAACCTTCCCACAAGTGGCTTTGCCAATAGATGGAAATGGATTTTCAGTTCCAAGTGATCGCAGTGTTTACAATCCATTTGAAGTCCCCTTCCAGGTCTTGGACACTTTCATCTCCAGCCACAGTGACTCTGATATAGGATTAAAGAAGTCAAAACGTCCTCTCCAAGAACAGACAGCTGAGAACACTGCACCACACGACACTTTGAGAGGTGGAGGGATAGAATGTGAAGAAGATAAATTCTGCATGGCTCAAAAAGGAGGTAACCGTTCTGGAGTGATGGGGAAGGAGGGAATCTCTCTGAGTCACCCCATCACCTTCCAGTGTCACCAAGGCTGAAATGACATTTTTTTCCCTTGCCACTGCTCCTCTTCATTTAAAATACATTTAAATATAATGAGGAAAAAAGGTCCACAAATAACTGCTCTTCAGCACAACCCAGAGCAACGTGAGAACAACTGAGAATGAAACAATCTGTATCATTCATGACCCTAACAATTACTCTGCAATAGGAGGAACAGTACAAATGTGATGCTCCTTGTTTCCTGGAAGAAGGGACACACTCCCATTACTCATGGGACAATGGAGTGGATAGAAAGGTCCATCAGGTCCACACCATGACAGGACAAACGGCAAAAAGCAAAAACGGGCCACTCCCCTGGACAAACTGAGGGATAACGGTGCTACAAATAATGCAAGCAGCCTTAACGGTTACTACGGTGGGAATTAGCAAAACGGTTAAATTTTTGTCATGGGTATTTTTAGGAAGTCACAGACAGGACATGGGCAATAAACAAAAATTCATGGAAGCCTGTGACCCGTCCTTGCCTTTCACTAAAAATACCTGGCGGTGGGGAATAGCAATTGGAGCCCCGTGGGGAGGGGGATGACTGTTAGCGGCAGCTCTTGGTCTGGTGGCTGACTTATCTCGGCCACTACTCTGGCCCTGGGGACTTACCACTGGCACCAGGATGATGGTGGTTCCTACTCTGGGCCCAGGGGCTGACAGCTGCTGAAACGGAGGTCCATTCAAGCCACAGAATCCATGACCCCTGTGACAGAATTGGACACTTAACCATTAAAAACAAGAGGGTTGATATCTCTAGAAGTTTTTATGGTGTTTAGCTCCCTTGCAAATTTTCTGATGTTTAAGAAGGGCTGAGTGATCGGTCAAACTTTTTCCACACTCACAGCGTTCGTATGATGTCTCTGCCGTGTGGGTTCTCTGATGTGTAGAAAGTTGTGAGCTCTGCGTGAAGCTTTTCCCGCACTCACTGCATTCGTAGGGCCTCTCCCCTGTGTGGATTCGCTGATGTGCAATGAGGTTTGAGCTCTGAGTGAAGCTTTTCCCGCACTCGCCGCATGCGTAGGGTTTCTCCCCTGTGTGGATTCTCTGATGCGTAATAAGAGCTGAGTTGTCAGTGAAGCGTTTCCCGCACTCACAGCATTCGTAGGGCTTTTCCTTTGTGTGGATTCTCTGGTGCGCAATAAGATTTGAGCTCCGAGTGAAGCTTTTCCCGCACTCGCCGCAGGCGTAGGGTTTCTCATCTGCGTGGATTCTCTGATGTGCAATGAGGTTTGAGTTCTGAGTGAAGGTTTTCCCGCACTCGCCGCATTCATAGGGTCTCTCGCCCGTGTGGATTCTCTGATGCGTAGTAAGGTCTGAGCTCCGAGTGAAGCTTTTCCCGCACTCGCCGCATACGTAGGGCCTCTCTCCCGTGTGGATTCTCTGGTGTTGAAGAAAGGCGGAGCTGTCACTGAAGTTTGTCCCACACTCACTGCATTCATAGGGTCTCTCCCCTGTGTGGATTCTATGATGGGTAATAAGGGCTGAGCAGACACTGAAGGCTTTCCCGCACTCACAGCATTCATAGGGCTTCTCCCCTGTGTGGATTCTTTGATGGGTAATAAGGGCTGAGCAGACACTGAAGGCTTTCCCGCACTCACAGCATTCATAGGGCTTCTCCCCTGTGTGGACTCTCTGATGCGTGGTAAGTTCTGAGCTGTGGGTAAATCTTTTCCCACACTCACCGCATTCATAGGGTTTCTCACCAGTGTGGAGTCTCTGATGTACAAGAAGGTTTGAGTTGTGAGTGAATCTTTTCCCGCACTCACTGCATTCGTAGGGTTTCTCACCTGTGTGGATCCGCTGATGTCTAATGAGGTTTGAGTTCTGAGTGAAGGTTTTCCCGCACTCACCGCATTCATAGGGTTTCTCACCTGTATGAATTCTCTGATGTTTAACAAGGGCTGAGCAGCAACTAAAGGTTTTCCCGCACTCGGTGCACGTATTTTTCCTCTTTCCCCTGAGGATTTCCTGCTGGGCTGTGGTTTCCTTGAGGTCCTTCTGAGTTCCCCGACAGTAAATGAATTTATCCAATTTCTCCCCTGGCTGGTTTCCCTGATGTCTCTCCGGTCTGTGCTGAATCTCACAGGCTGTTCCCTGCTCGTGACTCCTGGACACATTCCCTTTCGATCTTTGCGATAATGCTCCATGTGATTCCACTTGCTCCGCATCTTCCTGCTGAGAATTCTGCTGCTTAGTCTCACGTAGCATCACGTCGCCTGCCGTGATAGAGACAGAAACCTCAAACAGGCATGGAAAAGGGAAGACCAAACCAAAACAAGTGCTGGAGAGAGGTGGAATAAAAATCAGGAATTGAACTCCCCCAAACTCTTCCCCCAAATGGGAGAGAGGAGATGATTAATTCAGCACTCACATCCCATCCAAATTCTCAGTGGGAAGGGAGGAAGCTAATGCCAGGGGTCAGCTAAAATCTGTAGGAAGCCATGAGCTATCTCTGCACTGAGAATGCCACATCTGCTGGGCACAATCCTGAACTATGAAGCTCCCAAGGTCCTTGTAGGGTATGCCAGATGTTTATTTCAGCCACTTACAGATTCTGAGTTGGTTTAATGGGCCTTTGCCTGTGCAGGGACCTCTCAGGATCTCTCTTTCCTCTGAACACTGGAGGTCTGGGAGCCATGGTTCTTCCCTCTGTTCCAGCTGGGAGATCACATCAAGTCTGGAGACTGGAAACCCTGCTCAGATGAAAGAAAACAAATGAGATTGGGGAAATTCATAAGACTTTGTCATAAAAAATTGTCTATTAACTAAAAGAAGGTTGAGGGGAGATATGATTGCTCTCTATAAATGTATCAGAGGGATAAATACCGGAGAGGGAGAGGAATTATTTCAGCTCAGTACCAATGTGGACACGAGAACAAATGGATATAAACTGGTCATTGGGAAATTTAGACTTGAAATTAGACAAGGGTTTCTAACCATCAGAGGAGTGAAGTTTTGGAATAGCCTTCCAAGGGAAGCAGTGGGGGCAAAAGACCTATCTGGCTTTAAGATTAAACTCAATAAGTTTATGGAGGAGATGGTATAATGGGATAACATGATTTTGGTAATTAATTGATCTTTAAATATTCATGGTAAATAGGCCTAATGGCCTGTGATGGGATGTTAGTTGGGGTGGGATCTGAGTTACCCAGGAAAGAATTTTCTGCAGTATCTGGCTGGTGAATCTTGCCCATATGCTCAGGGTTTAGCTGATTGCCATATTTGGGGTCGGGAAGGAATTTTCCTCCAGGGCAGACTGGAAGAGGCCCTGGAGGTTTTTTGCCTTCCTCTGTAGCATGGGGCACGGGTCACTTGCTGGAGGAGTCTCTGCTCCTTGAAGTCTTTAAACCATGATTTGAAGACTTCAATAGCTCAGACATAGGTGAGAGGTTTTTCGCAGGAGTGGGTAGGTGAGATTCTGCGGCCTGTGTTGTGCAGGAGGTCGGACTAGGTGATCATAATGGTCCCTTCTGATCTATGAATCTATGAACTCCACTTCTTCGTAAACCAATAAAATCCCAGGGCCAGCTCCTCAGGTCCTCAAAGGTGAAGAACACTGATGATGAGGGACTGAACTACCCACATATCTGCTGAGAACTCACACAGATAGACACTGTGTGAGTCTGTAAACATATATTCACTATTTTACAAAATTATATTTAGTACAAAGTATGCCTTTTTGAGGTTTCATTTAAAATTCATAATCCACTGAACATTATTGTTGTGTTATAATATGTGTAACAACACTATGTACGTAAATTTATGAGATTTTAATGTATGATATTCATGAAAATATGTTACAGTTCTGGGGAATACCCACAGACCTGTTCCTCAGAGAGCAAGGCTATCACTTGGTTAAATGGCCATTCTCCAGCAGGGGGGAGGTGTGAACAAGAAATTTACTTTCCATTACAGGGGCTGCTTGAAGTTCACATCCAGAACAGACAGCCAGTCATCATGACAGCTAAAAATTGAAGATGTTTCCAGTACAAAGTGGTGAACAAACTTGAGACTCTCTCTGCTCACAAAATCAACAACTCCTGAAGAACTGATCTTGTGGACATAGGGAGTCCTGACTGATAGGAAACCCAGCCTGTCACAAGATATGGTGAGAGAAAGACATTTGCTTTGAATCTGTTTTCGCTTGTTAAGTTAGAAGTTGATTTGCAATGTATCTTTTATTCCTTTTGTAATCAATTTAGAATTTTATGCCTCATTATCCGTTGTCACTTAAAATCTTTTCTTTCGGTAGTTAATAAACGTGTTTTATTGTTTTATCTAACCAGTTCATTTGGATTAAAGTGTGTGGGAAACTATTTGGGATAACAAGGCTGGTAACATGTCAATTTGCACTGATTAAATTAAAGATTTTAGATGAGCTTGTAGTGTGCTGGACAGTGCAAGATGCACATTTCTGGGGAAAAGTCTGGCACTTGACAATTTGCTGGTGTTCTCCTGAGGTGTAATTCATGAGTGGCTGACTAGCAGCACTCAGTACTGTGTAGCTGGGAGAGAGTTACATGCTGGAGACGGGGTGTTTACTGGCCAAGAGAGGCTGTTCTCACAGTAAAACAGTGGAAAAGGCACCCAAGGTTGGAGAATTGAGGGGACACAGCTATTCAACAGTCCAAATTGTACCCTGGGTAATGTCACAGATACACATTATGAAAGAGGCTCCTACAAAACAGAGGAAGTAAATCCATGCCCCAGAAATTGAAGACTCCAGACTGAGGGCAAGTCTCCCTGGCACTGCTTCTTGCTGACAGAGAGGTCCAGAGACGATGCGAGAGTCCTGGAGAAGCTGGGAATGGCCAGCATGGGCTGGTGGGGTTCTGTGCAGTAAGGAACAGGAAGGGCAGGGAGATCACTGAATGCAGGAACTCAGCACTATTCGAGGTCAGGAAGGCACATACTGCGGGATTGGTGAATCTAGTGAGTCCAGTGCAATGGGAGGAAGTATGAAAATCCCTGGCTGTGGAGAACACTGGGAAATCAGAAGCTATAAATCAGGAGCAAAAGACACTAATTCATCTGGAAAAGCAGAATGTGAAAAATAAGGATCAGGCCAGGTGACTTCAGGAATGATGGACCCCAAGATCCAAGGAGCCTGCAGAGAAGAGAGATTGAGGCTACTGCAGATGGGGCTGGGGGAACAAGACTCTCCATCTCCCGAGAAGTGTCTTTACCGACCCAGGCCATTTTCACATGCTTAGTTGCAAGCCAGAGGAGTTGTGTCATCTGTAATGCTGGGTGACTTTCAATGTCCTGTTGCTGGAGCTCCTTTGTCCAGACATGTCCTGCCAGCATTGAAGGATGCACTGTGTGTCTGAGTGATAAGTAACCCTGGATCAGCAGCTCTGACTCCAGCAGCCTGCTTGTTATACCCCAGGCACATTCTGGCATCCACCAGCCTTGGATGCCCTGGCAAGAGATAGAGACACTCCCAAACTTGACCGCCAAGGAGGAAGGATGTTTGGTTGAGGCCCCAGCCCAGAAGCCATTACAACCTTTGCCTGCGGGAGCCAAATACCTCGAGACCCAGACCGGAGCCCTGTTGCCTGCAGCTGACCGGCTGGAGTCAGAGTCCCAGGGAGTTACCTGCGCTGGGGAGCCCAGAGGACTGAAGCTCCAGGAAGCCTGGGAAGAAGTGGCCGAGGGAGGTGGAACGAGTGGTATCTCCCACCCGGGTAAGGTCAGAGTGTTGCGGCTGGATTCCCTGCTGACCCAGTGGTTGTCCACTCCGCCACTGTTAGGGCCCTCGGCTGGGACCCGGTTGAGTCGGGTGGGCCCGGGTCTCCCTATCCCAGCTGCCGCCCCCACTTCGGTGGTGGCCCCGGGATCTGGCCATTAGGCCTCACAGCCCTGCACTTGAGAACCGCTTGATTGTCTTGAGCCATTAGGCCAAGCCGTCCAGAACCTAAGAGCAGCCACTTTACTCTGGCCATTGAGACGCACTGTCTCAAGACCCAGGACTGGTAGACTGTAACCACGGTGTCACCACGGCGACAATCCGCCCCAAAGGGGGATGAGGTGTGTGTACACTGCCACACACGTGCTCTGCAATGTCTAATTTTTCTTGGAGCACTCAGAGGAATAATAAGGTTTCTTTGCGCCTCAGAAGAGACAAATGGCCCAGCTCACCACTTTAACTGGCGTTAGCCACCACTTGAATTCAAAGACAGCACCTCATTTGTTTAGATTAAAACTAAAAGAAGCTTAGTAGCAGAAACATTTAAAGTGAGTTCAGGTAGAAAAGATAGTTTTAGAAATGGTTACAAGCAAGTGAAAATGAAAAATGCTTTCTGGAGACTAGAACTTAACAAAACAGTCTTGGTTCAAGGGAAGAATCTGACCACACTACTTTTCAGCAAGATGGCAGAGCACCCCCAATATCTCCCCCCAAAGTGCTTGGTTCCTTTGATTTCTTAAATGAAAGATAATTTGGGAGTCTTTGCCTCTCTTTTGTATAGTTCAGTGAACCTTTGAAAGGGAGTTTTCTGAAGGTTCCCCTCCAAAGTAAAGGTCATTCAAGCTGTGAGGAAGGAGGCCTGGAGTCTAGTGATGAAGGAAGTTCAATGCTGGTTTCTTCCCCTGCTGGTGTTTGCCAGAATGCAAATTGGTTTGTTCCTGCGATATCCTCCCCTGCCATGATGCTGAGTGGGTATTTCTTCCCCTTGTTAGTTTGATGGGTTTATTTATTGTTTATGTAAATGGCATCCCCATTGTCTCTTAGTGTACCCTGAAAGTGCCTGTTATAGAAAAGTGTTTATATGCTATTTTATATAAATGTTGAATAAGTTTGCTCTTATAACTTAGCATAAGTTACTAGCTTAGTATAAGTGATTAAAGTAGTTGAAGCCTTAGGCCGAGGTCAAGCTGACCTGAGAGGAATGCTGAAGAAGCAGCTGCAAAACCAGTTGGGGCCGCCCGTTATCACTGGAGATAGGGGAGAAATGCAAGAAGAAGAACTAATTGTCTTCAGGAGTGCATCTGGCACCCTTCAACGGACTGTCCGCTGTCCAACTGTAAAGGGTATAATTGTTTGCAATTTCCAAAGGGCGGGGTCCCTCTCTTGAGGCACCCAGCACGAGCTGTATTTCTGTTGACTAATAAAGGACGCTTGTATAAATTGGACTCAGAGTTTAGAAGTTTGTGGGATCCTAGAGTCGAATCTAACACCTAGATTGGTGAGAGACCGGCTAATTCATTTTCCTTTAACAGTGCCTTCCAGGTGGCAGAACCACCTGCCTTTGTCTAAGGTGGGGGAATTTTCAATCCTGCCTGGCAGACACTCTTTCAGAGCAATCATTCCTAATAAGTCTGCAATTTTGCATGTATCCTGCATACATACACCATGTAATAATATAAACCAACATTATCTCATTAGCTTTCTGTTGATATCTTAGGCTATGTACACACTACAGTTGAGGTCAGTATAAATTATGTCACTCAGGGGTTTGAATAAGCCACCCCCCTGGGTGATGTAAGTGACAGTTTAATGGAGGGATCCGTGAGGGACGCAAGCAGGAAGGGAAGAAGGAGGACTCAAGATGTCACTCAGTTGTGACATCTAGTGCAGGCCTTCCCAGAGGTCTTGTTCGGCCCACCCAGGATGGAAGACTGCAATGAGCCACCACGCGGCCACTATCCCGGGACAGAAGGCCCTCACAAGATGTGGGGAGTTGTCCAGAAA